TTAGATGCAGATTATTATTTTTTTTTTGGGGGGGGAGGACAGTCTTTGTCAATGTATCGGAGATAATTCATATCTCTAGACAGAGTGATAAATAAAACAAAGAATCACACTTTGGACATAAAAATTCGCAAACTATTTCTTCTATAGCTTTATCTTGTACATTTTTAAAAATTCAGGTAACAGGACTGTATAGATATTGCCTACCTTTTGTAAGTCTTGAGCGTTAGAAGGCAATGGTATAATCTGGCAAGAATCCAAAAGCTAACCAGAAAGTAAATGTGATACTTTGACGTAGTTTATTATTATTATCAATGTGATAATTATTATAATCATCGTCATTGTTGTTGCACATAATACGTTCACATGTAGGCATTCGACACGGCTCATCACGCCTCGTGACAGCAAGAGGTATCTGGGAAAAGATGGACAAATTGCTACCCTAAAGGTACAAAGTCCTGTCTGTTCAGTGCCTGGTTTGGAGAATTTTGACTTTAAAAAGTTTGAGTTTCACAACTTGTCAAGCTTTATCGAATGCAATTCCAATTCCTTGACTATCTTGATAACGACTCCGATTAACATTACGATATTGATAGACCAGAAAAAACATTAAATAATTTGGTACTTGGCCTCCAGGTCTTAGTAACTAAAAACGACCAAAACGCTTGCAACTTTATTAAGTCATATGAGAGCGGGGGACACATTAAACAGTTTCATATTGATTGGACATTATGAATTTTGCACGAATGGCTGCCAAAGCCTACTCTTATCGATTTTAGAGCGCCAATTGATCTCTAACATGCGCAACTTGCACTTGGGACTCCGAATTTTTATTACCTTTGTCCGAGAAGGCTAGGTGTAGATCTTTCCTACCAGAAGATCAGGGGTGTAGCTGAAAGACATCCGTAAGAAGGAGCCAAGGAGTAGCAGTAGAAAGGTTCAATTCCAGCGTAAGGAGAATTTGAAAACGTTTATCAAGTATCTCGTGTTTTTTATGCTAGGATGAGGTATCTATTTTTGCCTGGTGTGGCCCTCATTGGTAGGATCGGAAGCCTGTCTCCTTCACGATCTAAATGTGTCAATAAATAGGCGGTGGAATCAGGCGCTCGTCAATTTTTGGGCATGTGGAGATAATTTTGGTATCATCTTAAAGGTCTTTAATTTATCTGGCTTTCAATGAATAATAAATACCCATCTATCTTGAATAGAAGCCAAAATGTTCGTAAATTAAGGAGGTGGAGGTCGCCTTTTTTCAGAGGTTAAATTAGCGAGAAAATGGTCGCCAAAGTTTGGTTATTTCCATAGTTTGAGAGCCCGTGGTAACTGAAAACATACATTTTTTGTACCTTTATTCAATTTTTTCCCCGTAAAATCCACAGAGAAATGTCTTCTTCAATGGGCATAAAGATGTTGAGGAAATTTTTAAAATAATCCAAAGCAATAGCAAAACTGTCTGAGAAATACTAGTTTCTTCAATTTCATTTTGTTGTCGACCACCTGATTTCACCACGCTGCTTCACAAAATGTGTCGAAAGGGGAAGGG